TAACACTCTCTCCTTTACAGCATGCCTTTAAACTCATGCAAAATCACTAACACACAAAATCTGTACACGGTTTTGCACTACTGCAAATCTGTTTCTGAAAGTTCAAAAACATTTGACCCTGAGATGCCTTCACATAAAGCCTCACTAGGAAGTTCTAATGATGCTTTCAGTCCACAGATGTGGGTAAGGCACTTCTTATTAAACTTTCTAGAACTCCACGAACGCCTTTGACAAGCGTTTCCAAACACCAACATAAACACTGAGTGGCTTGTGCAACCTTGTTTCATTCTCCTCCAGAGAGGAAAAGGGATCAACCACAAAAGGAAGAGGCCAATTTTTTTTTTTCCTTGTATGCTATATCCTTAATCCCATGCAAACCAACACAGCCTGCAGTATTTAACTGTTTTATAACTCTGGTCGTATTGCTCAGAAAATCATTGGGACTTCACTGTTCACACATTTTTTGGTAACACAGGTGAAGGCAGAGGAAAATGTGACAAAAAAAAAAAAAAAAGGAAAAAAAAAAGCCCAAGAAAACATTGAGTCTCTTTTGATCAAAAGACCAAAAAAAATGCAAGTGATCTAAAAATAAATGCTGGAGCAGAGGTGGGGAGGGAAATCAATCAGCCTTTTCATGCTTTTATTCATTCTTAAGAAAGTCTTACCCCTCGTCCAGCTTCACCCTTAAGTAATGTAACTGGAAAAGATGCACATAGCCACTCGGATTGCTACCTCAATCATTATTTCAATTCTGGTGTACTGACAACCAAGCCTAGCACTTGCAAAGTCAGAATTTCTGGTCTACAGGTGAAGAAAACAAACACTCCAAGCCAGAGATACTCAACTTATGGCCCACCTGGAAAATGCATCCCTCCTCCAATCCTCTCTTACCAGTTCTGCCTGCCTCTGGCACTGCGCAGCAGACCATCAGAGCTGGTCCAGCAGTGCCAGCTTCCATTAGGCTGCAGAACTTCTTCAGGTAGTGCAGCTCCTTCCCTCCACATTGGGCTTTCTGTAAGCAGATCACAGAGCACACCTCCACACCCACCTGCCTCCCGAGAAAGGCAGGAAGCACCTAACTCTTCTTCCTGGTCTGCCTTTAAGAAAGGGAGCCAGTAGGAGCCATAAGGTGCATGAGCTTCTTCTGCCCTCCTCAGCCCAGCTGACTGCCCTCTCCTTGCAAACAGGAAGAAGTTGCCTATAAGGATGCACCAAGACAATGCAATATTGAGCATACTGAATTTATGTTATTGGGAAAAACTTCTTACATGCTCCACGCAGACAGAATGCTGGATCTATTTCCAAAACAAGTATCTATAGTAAATTCTGATTCATAGTGTGAAGTTTGACCTCACGTTACCTAAAATACTAGAATGGGAACACAACCTATTCAGAGAAGCCAGCATTTAAACCTATTAGCTAAAAGTGGCAGCTCTAACAGGGAAGAAAAAAGAATGTTACAGGACTCTTACATGTTAAATGCTGTTCTTTGGTCAGGTAGCAAAGAGATTAGAGGTAAGAAGTCACCGGTGAAAGCTTCCAGATCTGTCCTACACAAAGAGCTCTAAGATAAGCTGCAAAGTACCCCACCTATCCAGGAGCAGCACAGACATTATGGTGGGCAACAGGCATACAGGATCACAGTGCTCTGTTTAGATGGTTATTTGTCTAAATTACGGTGTCCTCTCTCACCAAGCAGAGAGCCCACTCCTATTGACAAGCACCTCCACACACACCCCTCTGATTTCACAGGCTGCTTTCTAAACGAACAATGATCTGAAAGCAGAGAGGCTCATTGTCTTGAGGATAAAAAATGGCAGGTCAGATGGAATGGCACTTCAGGCTGAATGCAATACTTCACAGACTGCCTGCGAGATTAAACTAACCTAAACAGTCATCTAACAGACATGGATGTGAACTCGCCTATGTTACTTACAGCCCACAACAACCCTTAAGAACTACTTGTATAAATGCTTGTGTAAACAATCCAACCTTTAAAACCATTTAGGAATTTTCACTTATCCGGTACAGTAGAATTTCCAGCTTAAAAAGAGCTGCATGATCAAACTTCAATCACAGTTCAAGCACAACTCAAACTCTGACATCCTTTCAGATTAGTTTTAATCTGCATTTTGTCCACTCATCCCAACATCAGAACAGTCAGGTATCCATATTTATTTGCTTATTTTCTTTCTGTACCTGTCACCATGCTCACACATGACAAGTTTAAATCTTTTTGGGGGTGTATTTTAATGCTTACATTACCACACATGCACAACGTTTTATCGCTCATAATCTATAAAGAAGATAACCTTAAACAAAGCTCTTTTAAAAAGTAGTCTTCACATCAGTATGCTCTCTTTGTATTCTTTCACTCCCCCTCAATCTCTGGGGTATATATTCTGAAATTTCACGCATACCATAGAGTATCTTTGGAATGTTACAGTATAATTGTTTAGAGAAACATTTAATGGATGAGCAAGCATCAAGAGGCCATGGTTAAGGGAAGGGAAAAGTTAAAATGCTAGAAGCATTTTGTATTGAATGATCTCAGCATGAAGACAGGGTATGGACATTCGATCCAAAAATCTGGTATTGACTCAGGCAATATAAAACCAGCAGAGCACTGAGGCTCATGAAGGAATCCAACCACCTAACAAAACATCTGCTGCCACCCACCTCTTTCAAACTGCGCTTTAGCAAACAGCAACTGAAGTCATCAAATGCTATAGAACGTTATTTGATTAATACCAAATATTATGAGAGCAGATTACACAACATTGTCAACTTTTTTTTTTATTGGTCACTCACTGTCCCAGTTCACAGCATAAAAAACGAGCACGTGTGCGATACAGAAACGCCAAAGTGGGGGAAAAAGCTGAGTACTGAGTATAGAGACAGCTAGAAAAAGCTGAACATTCTTTCACTACAGGAAACTGCTGGAGACAGTATGCTGTAAATTAAAGCCAATTTTCCTGAATTCCCTGAAGGACTGCTCCTCCCCTGTATTTGACAAATCTCTTAGCAGAGGCCTATCGTTATAGTTTCCTTAGGTCTTATCTCCTGAAAAAAATAAGAAAGTTTTTAGAAGTACACCCAAAATAAAACACATCAGTATATCAGGAGGACAAAGGGGACAACCCCCTCACAGGCCTAACCTTATACAGCTCACTCCAATCACAACTATTAGAGAACAGCTGGAAGAGTTTTGTCTCACATCTATACTTCATTAAATCAAGAAAAAACAAAATAATTGCCTCCGTACCTGAACTTCTGATCAGAAAAATGGTTACTAAGGCAGGAGAAGTGATGCACATCAAAATGCACTGCTCTGAAATCAATCCATTCTTCTCACAGCAGAGCTACAAAAGCCAGGCTTCATACAGACTTGTCTCCCAGTTGATCATGGGTTGCAGCTGAAGCTGGTCTCATGATTGGGCACTCAAATCTCTGCCCAAATGGATTCTGTTGTTCTTAATGACATACGATTTGCAGCTGGTGCAGTACAGTGCCTTCTAGCTTTACACTTCCACAGATTTTTCAGAAACTTGATATGTTTGAGGAACTACTGTTTCTGGGTTACTTTTTGTATAGAACAGGTAACGTCTTTAAACCCAAAAGAGGAACACAAATAGTGCAACTGCACAAATCTCATCTTGTTTAGAAACCCATCAAAAAGAAGCACAAGCTTTATTACGCAGACTTCTAGATCCAGTCCCAATATGTTTTCCAGAACTCCTTATCAAGTTGTAAAATGTGTGAATTTAAATCATATTTAAAAACAATGGATTGCTACTTGATTAAGGCTGGAAGATATATTTATAGACACATAAGATTGCATGGGATTACCCAGGTCACTGTGTTTGCATCCTACTGTCAGGAAAATAACACTACATAAGCTCTTCTGGAAAATTTGCAGCCCTGTCTTAAAATGAGTGTTCATTTTTCACACCCCTCCTCAGTTCTTCAGACCTAAAGCAATCTCAAAATTAGGATATTTCCTTTGCTTTCCAGTTTAATTCGTGAAAGGCTCCATCAGCGACCACTTCAAGACAGACAAAAAACAGCAGATGATGTAGGACAAACTTTTACACTGCATCCTCAAGCTTTCCTATGTCTTTCCCTTAACAACGTAGTTGTGTGCTATTACTGCATATCCAGATATCACTGTCAGATAAACTCATGGTTTTAAAACTGTAATCTTTTCTAATGTCATACTCAAAGGAGAATCCAAATATTCATTCCACTGGGTAACGTTCCCTATAACTGCTTTCATTTGGTAAATTACAGAGAACCATAACACTACTGCTGGTTTTAAAATAAGTCTACAGATGACTTTCTTGTGTTACAGTGACCATCCCAGAGCCTGTAAGTATATTTTTGGGGGTTATGGTAATGGGAAATGCAGCAATGAAGTCCAACAAACATGGGTATGTTAGTATTTTCAAGCACTTAAATCCAAGAAAATCAAAAGCAAATGTCTTCCTACCATAGCATCACAAAACCCAATCATAAATACTTGAATCATAATGTCTGCTGGGATGCTTTCTGCTAACTCTCCATTAGATTTCTTATAATAATACTCAGCACACACATTCCTCCACAGGCTGGATTGATTTCTTCCACAATTCAACTTGTTTTTGCCAAAGTCTCTTCTAGTTCAGCACTGGCTGCCTGCCTAACAAAACAACCTATCTTCATGCCAGAACTGTCATCTTCAGTCCTGTAAATGTATCTTACTTAAAAACATGTGTAATGAACAGTATTTTAAAATGATCTCCAACAAAATTTAAACAGATAAAGAAGCAGTCAGTATCATAGCTCAGTGTAAAGGTATCATTACATAATGATCACACGCACCACAAACTTCTGTTATTTGTTATAAAATCCTGATGACCTGGGGAAGTTATCATGTATTGCCACTGAATGAAAAGCTAACTAAATAAACCTTTCACTATATTTTTCAGTCATCATTTCAGTTACCCCTGAAAAAAGAATACCTGTGTAAGAAGTTGCTCTTCAGTCAGACTATTGATCCAACGTGTGTACCGTTCAGTAGACTCTGATGGCTCTCTTCTGACTTGGCAACCAATAATCTAAGGCAAAATGAGACAAATAGTGCTGTTAATTGCTGTGCACCCACATGGCAACAACTAAACAAAATCCACAAAATTGACATTGAAAACATCCGAATCCAAGAACTGATTGCCTGCACACATTTTCTTAGAGTCCTTCTATGTTCATAATATCACACAGTACAACATGGCACAGCTGCTCTGCTCAAATAAGATAGTTACAGACTTTCAGAAACTCCAGATTCTAGGAAACTCTTAACATGAAGAAGTGTCTTTGTAATATCCTCATTCTTGGAAATACTTGAACCACTTCAGCTGTAATTTTACAGAGACAATAATCCAAAGGCTTATTATATCTAGAATTCAAGATTTCACCCAGAATACTTTGGCTGAAGCCAGAAAATTTGGGAAGTGAATAATTAGAACTTGGATAACATTAGGAAAATAGTGCCATCACCTATAATATCATATGCTACTTACAGTTCATTCAAAATAAGTGAAGAAATCTGTATTCTGATTTGTTCCGTTCATGGTAGAACAATTTAGACTCTTTGCATATGCCTTATACTGCAACAATATGCTTTAAGTTGGTCAGCTCTGAAGCGATCAGGCAGTTGGATTCGAAGATCTTTGTTGGTCCCTTCTTACTGAAGTACACCATTCAATTTCATTTTGATAATAACTGCTCATTCAAGCATTATATTCCCCTTAGTTCAATTTTTACTAATACCGTTCTGTAGCTGTACAGATTAAATATGAATTTTAATATTCTGAACAGTTATTACTGTAATAAACAGCTCCCAGTACGCATCAAACACATGAGAGAGATTTCAACCTAAGCTGTGTGGCTATGTAGAACTCTGCTGCTTGCTACCCCAGGCAGCAGGCCGTGTAGCAGACTGTGGATGGTCCATAGCCTACCCTAAACCTTCACAGGACTTCATTATATATACGCAAAGTAAGCTGACAAAGCTTCCCACCAACTCCTATCATACTACAACTATATTTTGCTTGCAGATTTTGATGGGCAGCTCCCGTTGAGAATGTGTTTATTCACTAAGAATTAACATTAACGCATACATACCAGCATTTCTCAACAGTAATATGGGACAATCAAGTTCTGTACAACAACAGCATAGAAAACTTGCTCATTTTCCATCATAAGCGTGCATAAGGGATACATACACACGTGTGTGTATACATTGACACAGAAGCTAAAGTTATGCTTTCAGGTATGTCTATTTACAGAGCTTTAAGCCCCATGCAGATGGAAATATTCAGGCTAGAGTTCTGGGCACATGGTTAGGAATATATTTGATGTGGGAATAAAACCACTACCAACCATCCTTGCAGGGGGACTGCTGACAGTGAAACAGCACAAGTTAGCTTAATATTCAATGCATTCAAAATAAAAACCTTGGGTAAAAGAAAAGGAAATTATGACTGGCTTATCTCACAAGAATAAAACATCTCTCAAATACAATTTTTCCCCCTCAGTGAGGACTAAGAATTACTATGGATAACTTCACATTTAATTTTCTCCCGACTTGCAACTGATCTTCATTTTCTCCTGATTTGCAGCTCAGTGAGTAACACTGAGGCCGTTCCAGATGGTTCATCCAGAATCCCTTTTAAAGTCAGTATCAGTTACAGTGTTCACAGATGCATTTCTGAAGGGGGCATTGCAGAGGTAAAACAAACAAACAAAAAAAACCAAGAACTTCACAGAAGTTGATCAGATGAATACATCCTGTCCTGTAAGGATTCTTCTTTATTTAAGAAAACAACATACAGAATTCTAGCATTCATTATGCTTATATCAAACCAGCACTCATTAGCCAAGTCAATCATCTTTTCCATATCCTAGGTTTTTATAACTTACAAAGAGATTTTATAAAACTAAGTAAGAAAATCAGAAAGGAAAAATTGCAAAGCATGTTTTTCTTAATAGAAATTCTATAACAACACCAAATGGAAGCTTCATATTTTTTGTTCAACTAGGCACAGCCTAAAATCAACAAGCACAAAAAACAGATTTCACAAGGTAAGAGTTAAAAAGGACAATCTCAAACTAATTTTACTGAGAACCCGTGTTGCAATTAGAGCCAAGTAAGAAGTGCAGCCACCTCTTTCTATCCAACTTGAAATTTAAATGAGAAGCAGAGGATGGAGTTTTGTATTTTTTTAATTCATTTCTGCCTATCTAACCAATTCAAGAAGTGCTGTTAATAGTTTAAGCAATCTTATTGAATCCAGGCGCTCCAGAAGACAGCAATTCCCTCCACTCCGAAGAACAATGTGTTCAAATCTCAGCTCCTTATATTTCCAGAGAAAACTGAATGACTGTGATCAATTATCTCCACGTTCGAGGAAAGAAGACAGACAGAATAGCTGTTAGTAAATTAGATCCTGTCAGATCTTTCCTGAAAATTTCAGAGTTTAACTATGGTTCTCAGTCAAAATTTGCTCCTCCTTTCATACAGCAATGCAGAGGATTCCATTGCTTGCTCCTATTTACTTGTCTGAATGTAGCTTGTAACAATGATTCTTGCTTACTTCACATAGGTCTTAAAATACTTCGAGAATTTTTGAACTGAAAACACCATGATGAGGATAAAATTACTATATTCATCCAGTAAACAAGTTATTTAGGAATTATGCTTATTGCACTGATGTAAATCCACAACAGAAAAGCCAATGGGTTACACTGAGTTTCACCATGATTTGTGGCAGACATGCCTAACAGAAACAGAGCGAGTGGATTATAATCTGGAGACTTACGTGCAAGCACACTAATGAAATCAAATAGTAGGTTAAAAAAAAAAAGTTGATTGATAGCAATTTTATTTTCTACAGCAAACCTCAATCTAACATTTAGAAAGACAATAAAACCAGTATTAGTTACTAATCTAGAAAAAATTATAAAGAAGTAAGGCAGAAAGTAACAAGAATTGCCTCTGACCTTCAACAATCAGATGTTATAAATCAGTGCTATAAGGACAAGTTATTTTTTTTAACTAGTCCAATGAAAACACAGAATAATCATTAGATTATTACCCTTCTACTGTAGTGACACAAAGTCCCTATGAGTTCAGCAGTATTTTAAGTGCCAAAGGTTCATGGCTTTTGTCCAGAATTGATGGCAAAGGGTTAGACAGCTTTATCTCCAGAGCAACAGACTTCACTTCCACAACTGAACAGGACACAGGTGATGACTCTTAGTTCTTGAATTTGCAAAATAAGACCCTGAAAAATCTCACTTTTGTAATCACCAGCAAAGCTAGAAGCAATTGGTATGATGGTCTAACCCAGCATGAAGCCCAAAAATGAATAACAGAAAGGTCAGTGTCAAGAATTAATGTGAGAAAGCTGTTTGATAGAAAAGATAAAGACAATTCAAAAGGTAATCTAAAACCCCAAATTTATGAGTCTGTACATACTTTAATGTCTTTATTACTCTGCTTCTTTAGTGTATCATACCACACCACCTCCATCCCTCAGCCCTTTCACTTTTCTTACTCTCTTGTAGTTGAAGCTCCAAAAGGCAGACACAGATGAATTAAGCACCTCAAAATAATTTCCTATTAAGATGAAGCTAAGATTTCACTCTAATTTCTTCTCCCTTACACACTGGATAGGACCATTATCTATATAATAGCATCGCACTACATGTTTAGCAGTCCTGTACGTGATTCATATGTGGAATTAGAGGAACACAGCGAGGGAGTGACATGTCTAAGACTTCAGGAAAGTGTTCGGAGCAGTGGCTTTAACTTCACTTTTTCCCTTTCACTTTTTACCTAAACATGCTGTCTACGCACACAGAAGTTTTTATTTCCAGAAGGCTTTCTAATTTACTTTTAAACCATGTACATTCACCAACAAATGAGCTGTTGTCTTTGCTTCTCTTCCTCTAAAGAAAACAAATGACAACTTCTTTCTTTAAAAGCAAAGGAATAAAACACCCATAGCTCATGCTCCTATTGGACTTCTGTAAGACTTCCATGGATGTAGCAAACCCACGAGCAGGGCATGTAGAAGCAATCGCCTCCCTCCTGCAGAAGACAATATTGTAAAACATCACTTATCCACATTTTTCCATTACAATGACATCAGAGCAAAATAGACGTAACAGTGTAAATGGCCGTTATTGAGAACAGCTGCATTTTGGTCTCATAGCACAGCAGGAAAACAATTACAAGTGCATAACAAAGTCAGTTTTGTAAGAAATGAAATGTTCAAACTTCTCCCTACCCCAGTGTAACACTGAAATGCTTTGCACAGCACAAAGACTTCCTGATTTCTTTTTATTTTCAGAATGAACATCACTCAAGACTGCTTTGAGCATCATCTTCAGAGATGTTTTACAGACTGATCTTAAAGTTGCCACTATGCAATCAAATGTATTCCTTAATCGTTAGTCAAAAAAATTCCACACTTCTTCAGCTGTACCATTTCTCTCTCAGTGGGATTCTGACTTTTCATTGGAATGGCTGACTTATACAGCTGCAAGATAAATATTAACAACACAGACTAACACATCCTGAGCCTTTGATAGAACTCCTGTAAAGCATGGCTCATTTAAGCAGCTTCTTTCATCCAATCAAAGCCAGGTTTATTTAGAGTACAAACGGCTTCCTCTAGTTCCCCTGTGTAAGGTGTGGCATCAGAAACAACTGCACAGTTTCCCATTTCCTCCATGTCTCTCAGAGCTCCTTTATCTTCTCTGAATACCTCCTTATAGCTTCTAAATTCATGTGAAAGTTTTTTCACTATTGATTCTTTCCTAAGTTTGAAATCACTTTGACAAAACTCCTGCTGGCCCATTTTACATCCACCCAAACTTTCAGAAAGAAAAAGAAACTCTCCATATCAGAAACATCCTTTACAATATTGTGAGTACCCATTTCTACAGTAAAATTGAGTTCATCCGATATTCAACCTTTTTTTACCTGATAGGCAAGACTATTAATATTGTTACACATTCCAGGCATACACGGGCACATTCCTGTACCTAGAAT